CTCTCTTCAGGCCCAGTCTGTTTTGTTTCCATCTCTCCATCCCAGTCTCTCCTGGGGCCTCATTCTCAGAGAGGCTCCAAGAGCAAGCTGGGAGGGAGGAAATAAAGGGATAAAAAGCTGTGAGCTGATGGGCGCTGTGTGTGTCTGTGCGTGTGTGCCATTGTGAGTGTGAGTGTCGGCCCCGCCTCCACTGGTCCAGTCCCAGCTGCCACAAGTCCCCACCCACCAGAGCCTGCTACCTGGGTGTTAGGTCGAGCCTTCGGTCATTTTGGATGTGACGGACCCTGACTCTTTTTATATATATACTAGAGGCCCGGTGCACAAAAATTTGTGCACTCGGGGCGGTGGGGAGGGGGGTCCCCCAGCCCGGCCTGTGCCCTCTCGCAGTCTGGGACCCCTCGGGAGTTTGCAGCTGGTCACACCCCCTTCAGGGTGGGGGTCCCCACTGGGGTGCCTGGCCAGCCTGGATGAGGGGATGATGGCTGTTTGCAGCTGGTCACACCCCCTTCAGGGTGGGGGTCCCCACTGGGGTGCCTGGCCAGCCTGGATGAGGGGATGATGGCTGTTTGCAGCTGGTCACACCCCCTTCAGGGTGGGGGTCCCCACTGGGGTGCCTGGCCAGCCTGGATGAGGGGATGATGGCTGTTTGCAGCTGGTCACACCCCCTTCAGGGTGGGGGTCCCCACTGGGGTGCCTGGCCAGCCTGGATGAGGGGATGATGGCTGTTTGCAGCTGGTCACACCCCCTTCAGGGTGGGGGTCCCCACTGGGGTGCCTGGCCAGCCTGGATGAGGGGATGATGGCTGTTTGCAGCTGGTCACACCCCCTTCAGGGTGGGGGTCCCCACTGGGGTGCCTGGCCAGCCTGGATGAGGGGATGATGGCTGTTTGCAGCTGGTCACACCCCCTTCAGGGTGGGGGTCCCCACTGGGGTGCCTGGCCAGCCTGGATGAGGGGATGATGGCTGTTTGCAGCTGGTCACACCCCCTTCAGGGTGGGGGTCCCCACTGGGGTGCCTGGCCAGCCTGGATGAGGGGATGATGGCTGTTTGCAGCTGGTCACACCCCCTTCAGGGTGGGGGTCCCCACTGGGGTGCCTGGCCAGCCTGGATGAGGGGATGATGGCTGTTTGCAGCTGGTCACACCCCCTTCAGGGTGGGGGTCCCCACTGGGGTGCCTGGCCAGCCTGGATGAGGGGATGATGGCTGTTTGCAGCTGGTCACACCCCCTTCAGGGTGGGGGTCCCCACTGGGGTGCCTGGCCAGCCTGGATGAGGGGATGATGGCTGTTTGCAGCTGGTCACACCCCCTTCAGGGTGGGGGTCCCCACTGGGGTGCCTGGCCAGCCTGGATGAGGGGATGATGGCTGTTTGCAGCTGGTCACACCCCCTTCAGGGTGGGGGTCCCCACTGGGGTGCCTGGCCAGCCTGGATGAGGGGATGATGGCTGTTTGCAGCTGGTCACACCCCCTTCAGGGTGGGGGTCCCCACTGGGGTGCCTGGCCAGCCTGGATGAGGGGATGATGGCTGTTTGCAGCTGGTCACACCCCCTTCAGGGTGGGGGTCCCCACTGGGGTGCCTGGCCAGTCTGGGTGAGGGGCTGAGGGCTGCTTTCAGGCTGGCGGTTGTTGACTGAAGCTCCCAACCGCTCCTTTTTTTTCTCTTTTTTTATTTTATTCTGGGCCAGCTTTAGCTCTGGCTCTAGCTCTGAGGCTTCGTATCTGGTTTGTTTGCCATTCTATAATCGAAACAATGTATAACTTCAGCTCTGAGATCCCGGCAGGTTGAAAGCTGGTTTCTAGGGTTTTGTTTAGCTTCTTATTTACAACATAGTACATAGTTGATTAGATTTGCAACTCAGAGGCCGGCAAGTGAGGCGGGGAACGTTGGAGTCTGCAGTCACTGAAGCAAGGAAGCCTCATGTTCGCTTCCAGCTGCCTGGCTGCCGGCCGCCATCTTGGCTGACAGTTAATTTGCATAAGGATATGCTGATTAGCCAATGGGAAGGGTAGCGGTCGTACGCCAATTACCATGTTTCTCTTTTATTAGTGTAGATATATATATAGACTAGAGGCCTGGTGCATGAAATTTGTGCACAGCAGGGGGTGTCCCTTAGCCTGGCCTGCACCCTCTCCAATCTGGGACCCCTCGCAGGATGTCCGACTGCCAGTTTAGGCCTGACTAAACTGGCAGTCGGACATCCCTCTTGCAATCCAGGACTGCTGGCTCCTAACTGCTTGCCTGCCTGCCTGCCTGATCGCCCGTCTCTGCTTCTTGGCCTGATCGCCCCCTAACTGGTCCCCTGCTGGCCTGGCTGCCCCTAACTGGCCCCCTGCCAGCCTGGGCACCCCCTAACTGCCCCCCTGCCGTCCTGGCCACCCCCAAACTGACCCCTGCCGGCCTGGCTGCCACCAAACTGCCCCCCTTCTGGCCTGGTTGCCCCATAACTGTCCCCCTACCGGCCTGGCCACCACCAAACTGTCCCCCTGCTGGCCTGGCCCCCCCCCCCCCCCCCCCCCCCCCTCCAACCCTTCCAAGCTGGGGGCACGGAGAGATGCCTCTCTGTGGACACGTGTTTTTATTTCTCTCGGGTCAAAGCCTAGGAATGTGCTGGCCTGGTTGCCCCCTAACTGCCCCCTGCCAACCTGGTCGCCCCCTAACTGCCCCCTGCCAGCCCGGTTGTCCCCTAACTGTCCGGAAGATGTCCAGTCGACCCAGTCTAATTAGCATGTTTTCCTTTTATTAGTATAGATTATTTTGAGAGAATCAATTTGTTGTTCCACTTATTTACCCATTCATTGGTTGCTTCTTACATGTGCCCTGACTAGGGATCAAACCTACAACCTTGGTGTATTGGGATGACACTCTAACCAACTGAGCTACCTGGCCAGGCCAAGACAAGTAGATTCTTGCACCCACCTGTCAAATTCTAAGTTTATATAGAGGCCTTAACTGGTCACATATACCTTACAGATGGTCTCAACACATTTCTCTCTCAGGCTATGTCCTTAAAAATGGCTCCACTGTAGGAATGGTGGGTAGAACATACATTCCAAGGACAGGGGAGGAAGTGAGGATTGCCCAGGTCCAGTTCTAAGCTCACCTGGTGGTTAAGTCATCTCCATTACTTCCTCAAACAGGGAATCATCGGTTGGCCCTCCAACTTGTGACCTACACTTTAAAACTTTCACTCCCACACGGAATAGGCTGTATTCAACATACTGTTTTAAAGCTGGATTTCCTTAGATTATATTACATTTTGGCTTTTCTGATGAATTAGAAGATGGATTTTATTAACTAGATGGGCACTATCCACTCAAACTATTTGAATGACTAAGTTTTCATTAATGTTTCCTATAATATGCTCCCTTGACATACATTTGTTTTACTTTAGAATTCTGTGTTTCTGTTTTCCTCCTTATATGGAACTACCAAATATTCTAAGACTTAAAAAGTCATTTTCCTATTATGTAATCTTTTATCCAAAGGGAAAGAAGTTTCTAATCATTTTTCTATGCGACCTTCCACTCAACATATCCATCTACTCACAGAAGAAATTGTGGGATAAATGTAAAGACTTGCTGCCTCCAGTTTAAATAATATTTTTAATCCATGTAAAATATTTTCATATTAACTACATTCTTATAGTTTAAAAATAAAGACAATGTGAAAGAATAAACCCTAAATTTTCTAGGTTTACATAAAAATATTCATATTCATGGATAAAATACCATGACATTTTTAATGTTTTGTTATCTCTTGTACATAAATAGTTGCAAAAGGACCAATCCGACAAAGCCAATGGATTGCATAATTATAAACAGAAATTTAGAGACAGACTCATAGATAGAGAGCAGGCTGACATCTGTCGGGAAAGGGGTTGTCGGCTGGGGGATAGTGGAGGGATTGAGCAAAATAGAAAAAAATAAGGAAAAACTCATTGACATGGATAACAGTATGGTGATTGCGGGGGAGGGGAGGTGGAGGAGGATATGGGGGGGTATAAATGGTGATGATGGAGACTTGACTTGGGGTGGTGAACACATAATACAGTGCTGTAGAATTGTGCACCTGAAACCTGTGTAATTTTGTTAACCAGTGTCATCCCAATACATTCAATAAAAAAGAAAACAATGTTTGTAGCATAAAACAAATTAATGTTTGTAAACATGAAAAATTAGCAATGTAATATTAAACTCACTTACTTGAAAAGATAGAAGTCAATGACCACTTTTACAATTAAATTTTGAAAACCAAAATTTAAAAATTATTAGCTTCATTTATTATAAAGCATATGACTCTTAATTTTAGAGCTAATAATTTTTAAATAATTCCTAATTTTTAATGTCATCTATTGAGATTTTTTAATATAAAAAAACCACAATAACAAAAAAGGACCAAAAAACGCATATTAGAGAAACTTTATAAATTAGCAAAGCTTTCAATGTATATGTCTATATACATATATACAAATTAAATATTTGTCTGTATTGACATATACATTGTCAATATTTGTCAGTGACAAATATACCGGCTGCTCATAAGGAAATATGCACAGGTATGCATATCCACGGATATGCTATTGGAGAGTCTACTTTTGGTTTCCAGATGCAAAGTCCTAAGCATTACAAATCCCTCCATTAGCACTTCTAACTATGTGCATGTTCCCACTTCCTCCTAAAAGGTATGCTGTAACTACTCAAGTGTGTCTTTTCAAAATAAAAACTGATTAGATCACCCTAAAATTTAAAAACTAACACTCTACATTAGGCATATTCACTGGAACTCAACATTTTAATCATAAAAAGCAAATTTAAGAAAAACTTACATATTTAAATCGTAATCTGCACATCAGATTATTTAAATGTGTCATCAGAATTCACTGATAAAATAAAAAATGATAAAATATTATATTTTAGGTTTACCTAAAATATAAATTAAGGCATAAGAAAAGCTATGAGACCACAATATATATGGAAAACTGACCATTGAAAAATGCAAATAATTCATACAATATAGTATAAACTTTAATATATAAATTAGATATCATTTCATCAGCTGTTTGTTAGTCACATCAGTCTAAATTTTACATTACATAGTAAAATATTAAAAAGCTAGAAAACATCATTGCAATATAGATTCAATATGGGAAAATACATATTTGTGGCTTTATACACAATTTTAATTAATCCATTCTATACAATAGTTTTTCAAAATATAAATGGCACTTTACATGCGATAGGACATACCAGGTTGGATGTCCTACTATATTTTAATATACAGAAAAGTAAAGAGAAAACATCCTTTAAACAAGACAGTTACATAGCAGAGGTGGAATGTAGAACAAGATTTTGCCTTAATACAATCTTGAATAAGATTAAAGAAATATAAGGACAGTTTCTACTACTTTCAGTTAGCATTCTTTAAAATGAAGGCTACTGTGATTTTCTATTTTCTAAGTGTATCACAAACTGAGAAAACATAAAAGGGAAAAGGGGCAGGGGAGAAAACCTGATCCTTGATGAATTTTAAACAGCCCTGCCCATGAACTGCCTTGAGGCTGCTTTTCTGTTGACATTTCCTAAATTACTTCTGCCACTCGGACTGTGCATCAGCAGTCAGATGAGCTTTCCGGACTCCACTATGCCATTGTGTAGCCATAGCTGCCACAATGCAGTGCCACAAGAAGTCTGTCCTTGAGTATTTCTTTACTTGGGTATTCAGGTAACTTGAGCATGTTGATGCTTTAAAAGTAAAATATACCACCATTAAATAGAAAAACTGTAAAATTTCTAATTGTTTTGTCTAGCAATGAAAACTATGAAAATTAACATACAACCACCCTCTCAAATTTGCATTCAAATTGGAAAACCCTGAAGTAGTATTTAAAAGTGAAAACAAAAGCAAAAAAAACCCCTGCTGCATTGTAGTTTTCATTAGCCTGCAAATGTAGTGGAAGAAAATAAGTTCCTTTCAGCCAAAAATAAGCAAGAACAATTTAATTTGAAATGATGGTGTAATTTAGTGATACTATGACAATTTAACTTTAATGCTGGTTGAACAATATTCACTTAAATTATAGTTTCCTCAAACATATTCCTTACCAAAAAAGGGGAAAGCAAGGAACTATGTCAGTGATGGCGAACCTTTTGAGCTCGGCGTGTCAGCATTTTGAAAAACCCTAACTTAACTCTGGTGCCGTGTCACATATGGAAATTTTTTGATATTTGCAACCATAATAAAACAAAGATATTTTTGATATTTATTTTCTATATTTAAATGCCATTTAACAAAGAAAAATCAACCAAAAAAATGAGTTCGCGTGTCACTTCTGACACGCGTGTCATAGGTTCGCCATCACTGAACTATGTAGCTATTTATTTGTCAGTGATTCCAAAATGCTGATAGAGATCACTGTTGACATTTATTTCCTCTTCTTGTAGCAATGCAGTAGTTAGACTTTTGATCACTCAAAATTAATCAAAACTTCAAAATGCATTTAAATAAAAAAAATTTAACATACCATGTGCTTGAAGTCGGTAGAAGATTTGGAGTATATGGCACAGCAGCAATTGTAAAGTTTTGCAATCCACTTCCACCCATGATATTAGCAAATCCACCATGTGGGACCCTGGAACTAACAGTTCATATCTTAATATGTTGCAATCATTAAAGGAAAATCTTTGTTATAGATATATAGGGTAAGAATGTATTCAACTCTAGGTCACTGACAAAATAATCCTTTTGAATCTGCAGCACTCCAACTTATTACTAAAAGTCACCATGTGGCCAGTTATCCAGCTTCCATGGAGACACCCCTCCACATTTCTATAAGCTGTACTATGCTTTCAATTAGCCACAGCACATAGCTCTACTATTCATTTAGCATACTGTTAGGGGCAGACATAGAATATATTGGGGATCAGCTACAATTATAACAAACATTAATCATGCTCTGTTAACCATGATGGTTCTGTTCTGATTAGAGAAAGCACATTCTAACCTGGCTGAGAGTTGTACACCTTGGGACATACCCTATACAATAGTTTTTCAAAATATAAATGGCACTTTACATGCGATAGGACATACCAGGTTGGATGTCCTACTATATTTTAATATACAGAAAAGTAAAGAGAAAACATCCTTTAAACAAGACAGTTACATAGCAGAGGTGGAATGTAGAACAAGATTTTGCCTTAATACAATCTTGAATAAGATTAAAGAAATATAAGGACAGTTTCTACTACTTTCAGTTAGCATTCTTTAAAATGAAGGCTACTGTGATTTTCTATTTTCTAAGTGTATCACAAACTGAGAAAACATAAAAGGGAAAAGGGGCAGGGGAGAAAACCTGATCCTTGATGAATTTTAAACAGCCCTGCCCATGAACTGCCTTGAGGCTGCTTTTCTGTTGACATTTCCTAAATTACTTCTGCCACTCGGACTGTGCATCAGCAGTCAGATGAGCTTTCCGGACTCCACTATGCCATTGTGTAGCCATAGCTGCCACAATGCAGTGCCACAAGAAGTCTGTCCTTGAGTATTTCTTTACTTGGGTATTCAGGTAACTTGAGCATGTTGATGCTTTAAAAGTAAAATATACCACCATTAAATAGAAAAACTGTAAAATTTCTAATTGTTTTGTCTAGCAATGAAAACTATGAAAATTAACATACAACCACCCTCTCAAATTTGCATTCAAATTGGAAAACCCTGAAGTAGTATTTAAAAGTGAAAACAAAAGCAAAAAAAACCCCTGCTGCATTGTAGTTTTCATTAGCCTGCAAATGTAGTGGAAGAAAATAAGTTCCTTTCAGCCAAAAATAAGCAAGAACAATTTAATTTGAAATGATGGTGTAATTTAGTGATACTATGACAATTTAACTTTAATGCTGGTTGAACAATATTCACTTAAATTATAGTTTCCTCAAACATATTCCTTACCAAAAAAGGGGAAAGCAAGGAACTATGTCAGTGATGGCGAACCTTTTGAGCTCGGCGTGTCAGCATTTTGAAAAACCCTAACTTAACTCTGGTGCCGTGTCACATATGGAAATTTTTTGATATTTGCAACCATAATAAAACAAAGATATTTTTGATATTTATTTTCTATATTTAAATGCCATTTAACAAAGAAAAATCAACCAAAAAAATGAGTTCGCGTGTCACTTCTGACACGCGTGTCATAGGTTCGCCATCACTGAACTATGTAGCTATTTATTTGTCAGTGATTCCAAAATGCTGATAGAGATCACTGTTGACATTTATTTCCTCTTCTTGTAGCAATGCAGTAGTTAGACTTTTGATCACTCAAAATTAATCAAAACTTCAAAATGCATTTAAATAAAAAAAATTTAACATACCATGTGCTTGAAGTCGGTAGAAGATTTGGAGTATATGGCACAGCAGCAATTGTAAAGTTTTGCAATCCACTTCCACCCATGATATTAGCAAATCCACCATGTGGGACCCTGGAACTAACAGTTCATATCTTAATATGTTGCAATCATTAAAGGAAAATCTTTGTTATAGATATATAGGGTAAGAATGTATTCAACTCTAGGTCACTGACAAAATAATCCTTTTGAATCTGCAGCACTCCAACTTATTACTAAAAGTCACCATGTGGCCAGTTATCCAGCTTCCATGGAGACACCCCTCCACATTTCTATAAGCTGTACTATGCTTTCAATTAGCCACAGCACATAGCTCTACTATTCATTTAGCATACTGTTAGGGGCAGACATAGAATATATTGGGGATCAGCTACAATTATAACAAACATTAATCATGCTCTGTTAACCATGATGGTTCTGTTCTGATTAGAGAAAGCACATTCTAACCTGGCTGAGAGTTGTACACCTTGGGACATACCATTGGAATGCAGTTTGTCCTCCTAGTGAGAACTGCCTATCATTAGGGAAAGATTTACAACCTCATGGCACCTAGTCTTAGAGGTACTTGCTCTTTACAACCCCCCAGCCCCTATTACCTGTAATCTGGTCCCAGGGCACCCAGTAACTCCCCCGCAGCCCACATGACTTGTAACCTGTACTGATTATCCCATGCCCACTTTCCTATACCTATAATTCCTACTTCCCCACGTAATCTTATCCTTCTACCCAATATAAGCAGCTGGCTTATGGTAGGGTACAGAACAGATTTTTGTGAATGACCTGTTGCTCTCCCATACTGCCGGCATCATTGTAAAGAACGCTCATATGTGATTCAACCCTGTCTCTGCTTAATTGGCTGAAGTAGCGACAGGCAGCCTGGACCCCTTGGTTGTCCGGTTACAATACTGCACGTACAATTATTTTATTTCATGTGTGTCTCTACTAAACTGGGACTGATTTGTGGGCCCAAGTATGATATATTTGTATTTGTATCCCTGGGGTTAGCAAAATGATTGGTATCTAGTAGACATTCACTAAGTATCTGCTGAATAAATAAATGTTTGCTTGATTAATTAAAGCAACAGAGGATCTTAACATATAATCCAAATAATTTCCCGTTTGAAAAGTATCTGGGGTCAAAAGGATTTTGTTTTGTTTTTCACAGTGGAAATACTATAAAATTCTTCACATTTCTCTTTCCAAAGATTCACAATGTCAGATGTTGTTTTTTAATGTCACCTAACATAGTCAAACCACAGGAAGGCTAACACAATATATATAAACACCACCAGAAAATTTAATCTTGTGTACATGGCTGTAGAGGATGTAATTACAACTTCTCAAATTCTATTGTTTACATTTGAAAGAAAATTAGTATTTCAAATTAGCCTTTATATATATAAATATATATAAATATATATAATGTCCCCTTTCTTTAATCTATCTATCTATCTATGTATTCATCTAATACACACACACACACACACACACACACACACACACACACACATATCATGATTAAACAAACTGATCCTGGAATAAACTTTGTTGTTTTTAAAATGAGATGTTCTAGTGCTTTTTGGATAAATTAGAATGATGGTAAGCATTTAACATATAGGTGTCAATGCATACTCAAAGACAGTAGACTAATATTAAAAATGTTTTCTAACATGATTCATAGTACAAACCATAATTCAGTTCATTTAAAAATACTATTGAAATGTGAATAACCAAAACAGCTTGAAAAAGAAGAACAAAGTCAGAGGGCTTACACTTCCTGATTTCAAAACTTAAACTACAAAGCTACAATAATCAAAACAGTGTGGAACTGGCATAAAGACAGATGATATAAACCAATGGAATAATATAGAGAACCCCAAAATAAGACTTCACATATATGGATATGGCCAAATGATTTTCAACAAGTGTGCTAAGAATATTCAATGGGAAAAAGTCAGTCTTTTCAATAAACTGTGCTGAGAAAACTGGTTATCTACCACAGAAAAAAATGAAGTTGGACCCTTATTTAACACCACTTACAAAAATTAACTCAAAATGAATCAAAGACCTAAACTTCAGAGCTAAAATTACAAAATATTTATAAGAAAATATAGGGAGAAAGCTTCACGACACTGGATTTGCTAATGACTGCTTGGATGTGACACCAAAAGCACAGGCAACAAAAGACAAGTACATAAATTGGACTTCATCAAAGTTAAAAACTTATGTGCCAAAGGATACCAGGAATAGAGTAAAAAGGTAACACAAAATAGGTGAAAATATTTTCAAATCATAAGTCATAAGGAATTAACATCCAAAAAATATAAAGAACTCCAACTCAACAACAGCAATGAAAACCAGTTAAAAATAAGGAAAGGACTTGAATAGATAGTTCTCCAAAGAAGATACATAAATGGCCTATAAGCAGATGAAAAAGACGCTTAATCCAAATCATTTGTCATTAGGGAAATGAAATCAAAACCACAATGAGGTAACTTCTTCATACACATTAGGATGACTATTAATAAAACAAAAACCACCAACCCCTACCTCAAAAAAAAGAAAAAAGAAAAGAAAAGACCAAGTATTGGAAGGGACATGCAGAAATTAAAACCCTTAGGCATTATTGGTGAGAATGTAAAATGGTGCAGCCACTCTGGAAAACAGCCTGGCAAGTTCTAAAAAAATGAAACATAGAATTACAGTATATATCCAAAAGAACTGAAAGCAGAGAATCAATGAGATATTTGAACATCCATGTTCACAGCAGTATCACTCACAAGAGCCAAAATGTGGATGCAACCCAAGTGACCTCCATGGGTGAAAAGATAAGCAAAATGTGGTATATATACACAATGAAATATTATTTAGTCTTCAAAAGGAAATTCTGACATTTGCTAATACAGATGAACCTTGAGGACATTATGGTAAGTGAAATAAGCCAGTAACAAAAAGACAAACAATGTATGGTTCCACTTAGATGAGGTACCTAGAAGATTCAAATCCATAAAGACTGACAGGAGAACAGTGGTTGTCAGGGGCTAGGAGAGTAGGAATAGACAGTTAGTGTTTATTGGGTACAGTATTAACTGAGGAAGATAAAAATTTGGGAGATGGACGGTGGTGATGGTTGCACAATGTAATGTACTTAATGTCACAGAAGTATACACTTAAAAATGCAAGCCCGATAGTGTTGCTCAGTGGTTGAGCATCAACCCATGAACCAAGAGGTCACTGGTTGGATTCCAGTCAGGGCACATACCCAGGTTGCAGGCTCGATCCCCAGTAGGGGGCATGTAGGAGGCAGCCAATGGATGATGTTGCTCTCTCATCAATGTTTCTCTCTTTAGCCCTCTCCTTTCCTCTCTCTCTAAAAATCAATAAAAACACATTTAAAACTGGTAAATGTTATGTATTTTTTAGCACACACACTATAAAAACTGTTAAAAAATGAACCAAATTGAAATCATGGATATGTATGTACTCCCAGGGGAAAAAATTAGCAATCACTATATATGAATCTCTGAAAACAGCCATTTTCTTTTCTAGCTGGGAAGCAGTTTGGTTGCTATTAAATGTTTTCCTGATGAAATGCCTGAGCTTACCTTCGAGGTCTAAGTGAATATTAAAAGTATGTGTGGGTCTTACTAATAAAATGCTAATGCATGAGCAATTCCTACTTAGGGCAAAAGAATATCTGAAGAAGACATGAATATGTCTGTCAACTGAAATAAAATTCAACTTAAGTTAATCTATGCATATTAACCTTTGCCTAAAAAAATTAACAAAGGCAACCAAAAATAAAAAGGCATCAAAAAAACCAAACTGTTCTCAATTTCCTATAGAGGCAGAATTTAAAAAACAAGTATAACACTGTATCAGGACAAGATGAGAAAACGAACCTTGACACTTATTCTTACACAAATTGTAACAATATTTCATTATCAGGGTAATTAAGCTAATGTCTTCATATACCTAAATTTTGAAAAGTAAGCTTTAAAAAAAACCAAAGATTTTACAATTTTGATAGAATAAAAGGCCCTCTCTCATTCCCTGTTAATCTGAAAACTGATATCTTTCTGAAGGATAAATGAGCAATATGTATCAAGGTTATAAAAATGAATATACCTTCTATATAAAAATTTCCCTTCTAAGAATTTATCCTATATAAATAATGTAGGATTTTGGCCCACCAAGTATGTAGCACAAAAATTCCTTATTTCTGCAGCCTTATTCATAAATGAGTAAATTTGGCAATAAAGGACAATATCAATTAAAGGAGGTCCATAAATTGAAGAGTTAGGCAGCCATTTAAAAATTATATCTATAAATGGAATAATTTTTAGTGATATATTGAAAAATTCAAGTTATAAAACTGGGACAATGTCTTTAAAAAGCAAAAATTTATATATGTGAGAAACATTCTGGAAGAATAACGACACTGTTAACAGTGATTATCTCCAGTGATTGAGCTTAGAGTGACTTTTTAAAATCTGAATTGCCTAACCTTCCTACACAGAAAATGTAATTTTTATTAAATTATTTTCATTAAGTTACGCAATCACAGGGTATTTCTTGGCATGAAGAAGCCACTAAAAAAGCAAAACCCCAAAAACTTAACAAGGTTTTCTTTCATAGCTATAGTCTACAATCTGAATATTTATGTTTTATTTTCTTCTTTAAAATTAGACATATGGTGGGACTCCAACTATTTTCCTAATCATATAGTTAAAAGACTAAGAAAATAAAGTAAAATGTTAATAGCATTATCTATGTGGTGGAATTACTTAATAGGATTTTCATTTTGTTCTAGCTATATTCTCCATTTTCTAAACTTTTATAATGCTTATATACTAGTTTAAAAATAAGACAATAGTGTACCCGGCCAGTGTTGCTCAATGGTTGAGCACTGACCCAAGAACCAGGAGATCATGGTTTGATTCCGGTCAGGACACATGCCTGGGTTGTGGGCTTGATCCCCAGTAGGGGGCATATGTGAGGTGGTCAATCCAAGATTCTATCTCATCACTGATGTTTCTGTCTCTCTCCCCCTCTCTGAAATCAATAAAAACATATTTTTAAAAAATAAGACAACAGTGAATCTTAAATTACATACATATATTTTATATAGATACACACTCAAAATTATGTTTTTAAAAAAGCAAAAAAAACTCTGGCTGGGTAGCGCAGTTGGTTGGGGCATCGTCCCATATAACAAAAGACTGTGGGCTAGATTCCCAGTCACTTAAAAAATCTATATTAATAAAAGCCTAGGTGGCCCTTGCGCCCTCATGTCATCTCAAGATGGCCGCTCCCCACGTTGTCACAAGATGGCCACCCCCACATCGTCACAAGATGGCTGCCACAAAGATGGCTGCCCCCCATGTCATCACAAGATGGCCACCACAAGATGGTCATTACAAGATGGCCGCCCCCTACGTCGTCACAAGATGGCCATCACAAGATGGTCACCATAAGATGGCCAGCAGGGGAGGGCAGTAGGGGG